TGGAAGTTATTTTTGTATTTAGATTTTTGACGGATGGAGATGATAATGCAATAGGTCGGAGGAATTGGAACAACAATATTTATGCTTTGGAAAAGCAGTGTTGCAGGCTATTGGATACTAGTAGCCTGTGAGATTTTTCATCACTATGAGTATTTTTTTTCAATGAGGATTTGCTCATTGAAAGAGGACGAGATTTTATATGCTCTATGTACTGACAAGAAAAAAATATCCACTCATAGATATGGAGATTGGAGCAATTTGATCATTATGTCATATGATATTATTATATCATAATGATCAAGAAGGAGCGTCAGTAGTGACGGAAATTTTGAGCTCGTGATTGAGCCAGTCAAGATTGACGGTAAACACAAACCAAATGATGCGTTGATCACAGTTAATATTTCGGAAAGATTCAGACGACACTATACTATTATGCATGTTTATGTACGTATTATGGAGATTGTTAGTTATCTTTATATGTTATTGTTTTATCTTATAATGGCCACGGCTTGGTTCTAGTTTACTCTTGTTTATAGATGAACCTTGTGTTGGTTTCTGTCTAGAATTTTCCACGGACTAATAATATAGGTTAAAGAGTTTACTGAGATTCCTTAACACGAGTTAAAGAGGAGATTGTTGAGGTTAACTTTGGTTAAGGAGTAAGCTCATGTTTAGTTATTTATAACTAAGATTGATCGCCAATGTTGGATGTATATATTAAGGTCTGTGTATTCTCAAACAATACGCATAGTATACTATCTGTAGCTCTTGAGGATGAATCACGTCATACGTTGGTGTTTATCGTGTTGATGTGTTTATCGTGTTGATGGCTTGCTTGTTGCTTGAGTTTGTCATTGATGATTTTCACATTTTGCGCTTAAACAATGTATTTGCATTGAACAAATGCTATAACTTAAGAGTATAAATTTCAAGTGCATAAATTATATAAGCATTGTGATTCTAATTATTTGATGAAATCAAAGAAATGTCTTATAATTAAACACAGAAATATTTAGTTATTTTTTGAAAATAGATGTATCTTGATTGAGATAGAAAAACAGAGTTTGGAACTTTTTTCACACTTGTGATTGTCCGAATGTATTAAAGATAGTTTTGAAGTCATGTTAAGTAGACACATATGGGGTGATCCAATCATTCTTATTTTGAAACTATATAAATAAAATTGGATTAAGAACATAAAATATCCTCATAGAAGTTGCGAACATCGAGCTGAAATGCTCTAAAGCTGCAAGAAAAAACACAACTCTAGCATGCATAACTCGTTAGTTTATGAAACATAAAAGAGTTGCAATTGCTGCAAACATGCTGAAAATAATATTTTTGCAAAAGTAGCAACATGCAATTTTGAATTTTTATACAAGTCTTGCTTTTCATGCAATCATTGGATTTGAAATAAAACATACATATCTTTCATTGTTGTACACATCCATGAATCCACAATAGTAACAAAAATCATAAATGGTCATTTGAGTATAATTTTATTGAAAATCAATGATTATATTCATCCATAATGAACTTAACAACACATCAATGATTTATCTTGAATTATTCAAAATTTTAAATTTTGCAATTGAGGTAAGAATTTCTTTGAATGGTGATTTTTGAAATGTTCATATAGAAAAAATTGTATAATTGGATAGATAAAAGATGTGAACATCACATGAAGATGAATAAGGAAGTTTCCAACAAAAATAGGGACTAGAATCTGGTTTCCTGTTAAAATTTCTATTATGATACTATTGGAGCTAGATTCAATAGCATTGTAATGAAAAATATTACTCATATCACCATATTACTGAATTCCCATTATTCATACCACCCGATTATCTAGTTTGTATTTCTAGTATTAAGGACTAATATTATTTTGCGAGAGGTTTTAGAAAGAAACTTAATATTAGACATTTCTTTACAACAATAGTTAAATCAAAACTAAATCATGATCATAACATGATAGAGTAATAATATAAAGAAGTAACTGAAAATACAATGGTAATCGAACTCTACCTATGTTTACCATGCACAACTTATATAATAGCACAATCGCTTGAAACTTTCCAAAGTAATAATTTGATCAATGCATCAACTGGATTGAGTTTATCGTCTATCTTGAATAGTTCAATCGTTTAATCAAATTTTGCTTATATGAAAAAATGATATCTGATGTTGATGTTTTGCACTTTGTTGTCATAACCTTGTTCAAAACCAGATGTAGAGCACTTTGACGATCATAATGAAGATTGATCACAACGTAAGCTGAATATCTGGCAGCATCAAAAACAATAAAGCAAACTATTTGAATATACATGCTTATCATGAACATGTCATCCATGTAGAGTACTAGAATAATGAGAATGAAAGTTTCATCATTCAACTTCTTCATGTAGACACAAGTATCATACACACTACTTCGTAAAGAATCTTTGTGTCTTCATGAGCTCATCAAAATGCGTGTTTTAATGCCTAGTAACTTATTATAGTACATAAAGTTTTTTCATCAATCAACAAACCAACTTTTCCTGACCTTTCACCTCGAAGCCAACTAGTTTTCTCATGTAGATATCCTACTTCAAATATCCATAGAGAAAAGTTGTAACAATGTCCATCTCATCCATAACAGTACTAAATATCGCGATCAATGCACATATTAAACAAAGTATATCTTATTTTGCTATCGGTAAGAAAATTTTGTTGTAGTCCACACCTTTATCTTATGTGAAATCTCTAGCCACTAACCTGGCTTTGAAGATTCTCGTCTCATCACTTGTTGGATAATATTTCGGCTTGTACAATCATTTGGAATTAATCAACGTCTAATTCCTGTGAAGTTTGACTAGCTGCAAAGTCTTGTTGTCAATCAGAGACTGCATGTCACGTTCGTGGAGCTTCTATGTATGAAAATGTTTGCTTTCTTTCAATATCATCGTCATCCTCTGTATCAATGTCACAATCTTCAAAAGTGTATGAGTTGGTTCATATATCATATCTGTCATGAGTTCTACTAGCACGATTAGATGAACTTTTAGTAGAAGATTCTGATCTCACAAATCTGCACCAAATATGTGAGACTCATAAACAATAATTTTCTCTTCTAATTTTGTTACTTAATAATTTGCTCCATTTGTACTGGTGTTATTCCTTGTAGCATATCATAAGTCACATAATGATCAAACTCTCTCACTACAAAATCAATGAATGAAATTTTTCTCTTCTCAATATTTGATAACTCTCACGTTATTTCGTTCTTTTGAGCTGATTCAAAGAAACATCACTATTGAAAGTAATGTTACATTGTGCTAAATCCCATAGTTTATAACATTTCACATCTCTAGCATATACAAAAAATTTCTATAGATTTTGCGACTACCTTCCTTACATTTCACAAGAATAGTTTTGGTATTAAAAAATATGTGAGTATCGGGGTAACATCATTTATAACTAAGCTTTGGCTTGTGATACATTTGTACAAAGTAAACTATGGAGGGAAGGAGTATAATTACTCAGAAGAATAATGATTTCCAAAACATGAAAAAAGAACTTTTATATTCCCGAGGTTACCAAAATTCCCCACTCTGCCAATGGAGATTTTAGGTCGTTACACCATTGGTAATCCAAGAGGAAACCTCATTTATAATTAACTCGTCCAAGTTCAATGAAGTAAACTATGGCACTCAGAAGACATGATGAAAATGATGAGCATTCCCCAACATAAGGTAGAAGGCCAGTGCGCAACACAGGCCATTCAGAGTAACTCTGGGCCAACAAGAGGAGGCGACGTCCAGCCCTATGATGTTCCACTTGAATGTTTTGTAATCGGAGAGAAGTCGTGCCGCAGAGAAACAAATTGAATTCTCCAGAAAAAAATGTAAAACACTCATATGAAGCATCGCACACATTGGTTTAGTTTGGGCAACTCACGGAATTACGAAATTTGCTTCCCCTGGATCATTTATTGGATTGAAACATAAAATAACAAAGCACCCTTAGCTATCTTCTAAATGCTAATGCTAATCACGCAGCTACATTTCGCTTGGATTGTGAGTTGATATTCATATTGCTAGATTGAACGAATTATTGTGAATGAGTTACGTAAAAACTTCCAGCTTTGAAAACATGTATTCTAAACATTTCCCGTATTGGATTTTGTATCTTTCTTGGGACGAGGTTTTACTTCACCGCAGAGCTACATAAAATTTAACGACACTTTCTTTAAACTACATCTACCGCATGTTTGACGGCAATGACTGGCCTGGAGGTGCATTTCTCAAACGACAACAATTAACAACACGGAACGTAGCTTGCGAAGACATTTCGTAAAAACGCTTGTCACAATTCTTCCCAAAACTATCAGGTTTAACTACCAGGTCGGTTTGCCTACAATGTTCGAAATCCGCAGCATGACAATCAAAATTACCGTAATTTAATAGCTGAAAAGGATACATGTTTTAAATTACTTCATAATACGAACAAACAAGCGATCATCGCTTGTGCATGCAGAGACAACAATTTCTTCAACATTGTCTGTACTGAATATATCTTAATCAAGAAACATACACCAGTTGAAAGTTACTTCTGGTGTTGAAGCAATCAATGGCCCGGTCAGTTTTCCACCCTCTATTACCCGCAACTGTTCTCGAGAGCTGGTAGCTTTCATATTATAAACCATATTAAATAAACATGAATCGAAACAAATAGACGCAGTCTATCATCTTGCCAGCATATTCTTCTTCAAGGTTGAATCTGAAATAATTTAACACTGCAAATACCAAATGTCATTGGCACATGGTGATACTTTATCCATTCAGAGCTGAGATTAGCCTACAGCTCGTTTGCAACAAGTGAAATCTCATTATGTATGCATGCCCTTCCATAACTACGTTACACCTTTCCACGTTAGTGTGAACTGTCTCAAAAAAGTAGACAGCCAACACAATTTTTCAACTGATACTCAAAAATGTATACACTGAGAAGAGAATCATCTACCTGACAACAGAATCGATAAACCTACAACTGAATCGTATCCAACATTTCTCTCCGTATCTGGAAGACATGTGAAACGAGGTCAATCATACGTTGCACCTCCACCTACACCTCACCAATTGTCGACAGTTTCTACCATGTAATAATTGATGGTACCAAAGGTAAGAGCCATCAGAGATATTATACCATTCGTCTTCAAACATTCACAAGTTACAGGAACGTCTGTCATGACAGTAAGTGCGCAGGAATTCGGATAAATATATAGTATCTTTCATACCAAAACATAAAATTAAAAAATCTTTTCTCGTGTAGTCTCTTCCTCTCATGAAGGAAATAGAATGGAAGACATTTATGTTGAGCATGCAGCAGAGAGTGCATTTAATGGTGTGGCATTACGAGAGCAATTTTATTTGAGGAACTTCATGTATGAAAGTGCCCTTACAGGATTCGAGGACACTTTTCTACTTTCATCTATTGCATGGAGAGGATTTGCCTACCATACGACGCCATCGTTTCGTCGGTGGTCCCGTCAAGAGAAACACGTAAAGCCTTGACTATGCAAACATATTCGCGTGCACAGTAAACAAAAAACGAGCAATCTATCATCGAAATTCCATACTTCAGCTGCAAAATAACAGTCGTTTTCATTAAAAACATCCATAAACAGTACATACGCAGTGAAAGGCTCGGCCAGTGCGATGATGAGACAAATGGTAGATTGATTTGAGAGGAGTGGACAAGTGCCCCGGAACGGGTTACTAAAATGTCCACTGATTTCTCTACACAGTATGGGTGTGGATGAGCCATGAAACCACCCCAAATGCCAAACTATCGCCTACAACATTCGTGAGTGATCTGGACGTAACTTCCAAGTGCTAAAGGAACCAAAGACTCACGTATCCGCACTTCCTGCATATTGGCAGAGACTGTGCATAATCAACAGCAATTTGCTCCAACTAATTGATGAAGATCAATCACCACAACATTACAAGATGCCTAGTGTTACAGTACAAAGACCACATGATCCCTAGTGCTAGCCACATGTAAAACAAACATGAGTTACCAGATTCATGTGGGGGTTTAACGAATACGCTTTTAAAGGAGGCTCAATCGAACCCGAATGCTGAGAAGGAATTCCGACAAAGCAACTCTTCAGCCTCTGATGGTTCTCAAAAGCGAAATGATCGTTTGGTGATCGAGGAAGAATGCCTTAAAAGCTCTACGTACAAGTGGCTGAACAGTACTCACCCGGACCAAGAATAAAATTGACAGAGTTGATCCGGTAAGAAAAAATTACGCTTCGCAATTCGTCTACATCAATACATTACTCCGCCATCGTGCTCGGTTTAGTACCCTAGAAGGGATTCATCCAGGATTCTAGTCAGATCTTTCAGCGAAGCGCTCGACCTTCTTGTCGCTGATGTTGATGCCCACCATGGCTTCACCGAGTCCACAACTGATCTCAGCCAACACATGTGGATCGTTGTAGTGAGTGACTGCTTGCACGATAGCACGCGCCCTTCTGACGGGGTCACCGCTCTTGAAGATCCCTGAGCCTACGAATACACCGTCGCACCCAAGTTGCATCATCAGGGCGGCATCGGCTGGTGTTGCGACACCACCTGCAGCGAAGTTAACAACAGGGAGGCGACCGAGCTGCTTAGTTTGCCTCACTAGTTCGTAGGGTGCAGCAATCTGCTTGGCGAATGTAAAGACTTCATCGTCGTCAAGAGCCTGTAGCCGCCTAATGTCTCCAAGTACGGTTCTAACGTGGCGCACGGCCTCTACGACGTCCCCGGTTCCTGCTTCACCCTTGGTCCTAATCATGGCAGAGCCCTCGGCAACCCTCCTCAAAGCCTCGCCCAGATTTCGGCAACCACAGACAAAAGGGATGTGGAAATTGTGCTTGTTGATGTGGTGCTGGTCGTCAGCTGGGGTGAGCACCTCGCTCTCATCGATGAAATCAACACCAATAGCTTCCAAAATCTGTGCCTCGACGAAATGCCCTATTCTGGCCTTGGCCATGACGGGGATGGTGACCGCGTTCTTGATGTCCTTAATCATCTGCGGATCGCTCATGCGGGCAACGCCTCCCTGCGCTCTAATGTCGGCCGGCACCCGCTCCAAAGCCATGACAGCTGCGGCGCCTGCCTCCTCGGCAATTCTCGCTTGCTCGGCGTCAATTACGTCCATGATGACTCCGCCTCTCAACATCTGGGCAAGACCCACCTTCACGGCATAGGTCGATTTCTTACTGTCGGCGAGCACGCCATTTCCGTAGACGGCGACCACACCGTTGTTCGCCATGACTTCTCTCGGTCTCTCTCGTGCTCCCTCCCTGCCTCAATGCACTCGAACGACGAAGGCCGGGTCAGCAACGACGAGCAAATCCGCGCAGCGCTGTCTCGATCTGCAATAAAATGCTTCGCCCGTTAAAAGAGACGATGCTCTTCTTCTTCTTCTCCTTCTTCTTCCTCACTCCAGATGGTTCCGAAGTTGCTTCGGGGGATCGGCCTCCTCTTCTCTCGCGCTTTCCTGACTTGACTGGTCTGACCCTTACGGCAGAAGATCTGGCGCCCGAGTTATAAGGGCCTGGCGTGATTAAGTGCGTGAATCGGAAATATCTTATCACACCTCGCACCACGAACTCCACCGATATCTCGACCTCGCGGAGGCCGAGCTTTTCTAGACGCAGTAAGCCGACTGGGGCAGCGCGGTACGAACCACGCCCCTCGCGGCTCCGTTGGTCAAAAGCCGTCCACCTGGTCTGGCCTCGGCCACGTCCACGGCCCCGGACTGCCACTGGCACAGTCACACCCGCACACCCTCCAACCCTTGGCTCTCTGCCTATCGCGTCCCCCTCCCCTACATTCGCTGCCTATCTGGGCCTGACCCCAACCCTAACCCTAATCCCTCTAAATTGGACCCTTCCCCAACTTGCACTGCTCTGGCTGGTTTTCGGTTTTGGTTTTTCCGCACCGCGGTCACGATCCTTCCACATTGCCTCGCTCGCTGGCCTGCGCTTTTGGCCACGCACGCGGCCTTGTCCTTTCTCCGGCCCGCGGCCATTGCCCGTGGCTAGTTTGTCTCCGGTCGGAGTTCTGCGCCGGGCCTCCAGACCGACCGTTGCGCCGAACTCCAGCCCACGTGGCTAGTGCCCGATCATCCTCTTCCCCTCCGCCTGTTGCCCTGTCAGCTCGTACATGCTCCTGGTCATTTTCCAGCTTTGAATTTGCCCCCCCGGTGCAGGTGCTCCGGCCCTCGCTGCTGCTGCTACTGTAGACGGACTCGTCGCATTCCGTCCGTGGCGTAGAATGCAGAGCGAATATTCGACGGGACTTACTTCGTTCCCACCGTGAGGCAAGCGAGGAGCAGCCGAGTTAAGGAAACGCTTCCCCCACGCGGCCGGAGCGCAGTTAACCATGTGACCGTCGACGTCCAACAACAACAGCAGGTGTGAAATAAAGTTCCGCGTGCCGATTGGTACTTTTGGGATTCTTGCGAATTTCTTACAACTTAAGTATCGAATGACGTTGGTAGGTGTCATCATCATCCCTTCAGGAACTTTCCAGGCTTGCATAACTCCCCACCCCCTCACCCCTCACCCCGTGCCTCGCCTCGCCTCGGCCGACGACCGCCGTAGCTTCGACTGCACGAAAAGCCTCCAAACTCCGTCGCTTCCAGTCCTGTCCAGAAATTTCCACTACGTCGTAGCAGCGCTGTCAATCGCCGCCAACTCCATTTGGCCATGATTCCCTTCTCCGCTTCATTTGGCGACGACCCAGCAAAGAAAAGCAGGAGAAAGCGAGAGAAAGCATAAACATTTCTATTCCCTCGCTATCTTGGGCCTGACGGCTTAGCATTGGCCTAAATGGGCTCGACCACTCATGCGCCAGAGCGCCTCGTCTGCCTCGAGTTTTCAGACCTACCGTAGGCAGGTAATGCCACACCTCGTCGTCGGGACCATTATCTGGTGTGTCAACAGCAGATAAATGCGGTTACTTTAGTGTCAACATAAGGGGCGCTTTCTTGTCCTCAGGCTGAAAAGAAAGCGGGTCGTATTAGAACCTTTTGCATGTTTGGCATGGGGAGTACTGTATGACCGCAGGAACAGAAATTGCGACGGGTGCGTAGGCAGGTACCAACCGGTTCTCTGTTGGTATCAGACTACTCATAGACTCCGATCGTACAGGTTCTCAGGCTTTCGTAGGCCCACTGATGGCTCATTCTCCGTATGACTAGACTCGACTCGAATCCCAGTCGCGTGGCGTGGTTCGGGGGCCGACGAATCTCGGCCGCATCCTGAGGGCGACTCGTGGTTCGGGCTTCTGTGGGAGCGATGCGCGTTACGCTGCGCTGCAATGGACTAGAGCAGTGTAGAACACTGAAGCGCCGCCGGAGTAATGAAGCCGTGGGTACCCGGTACTGTGAACACAGTCCATCTCCTGGGCTTTATTTGGATCCGTAGTCCATAGTGCTCTTTCATTCTCGTTGCACGCTCAAGACACGTCCGGAATTCACTACACGGTTCTGTGAGGCTCGATACCCGTTGTCCTGGAGTTTCTACACGTACGGATCGGGGTTGTCAAAGAGCGGCATCAGGACCCGAAGTGTTAAAACTTGATGGACCAAATCAGGTTAGAGTATCCGGAAGTCACACCGAATGGGACTACAAGTTCCTATTTAATGTAAATATTCGGCGGATCTAGCCTAGGAGGTAAGGCTTGTTACAAGGTTCCTGGAAATTTTTAAAGTTTGGGTGTATTTGATTCTGTAGTCAAGGTGTACCCGACCCTTTTACACTTTCTTTTCTTTACATAATTCTACATATATGTTCTTAATTCTAATTTTTGACATCTAATAATTTAGAGTATGTTTCGACTTCAAAATTATACCCCATATAAGGATAGAATTTGTATGGATACAAAAGACGGAATGCCTTAGTACCCTTTATATCGATGAAGGGTGTAAGTCCGCAAGATTTTTCTTATTCTTAAGAAAAATTCACTAGAATGGAAAATGTGGATAGACTTCCAAATACACAAACAATAATGATCCTGCTCCTTCAATTCTACCGTCAAACTTACAGAAAATGAGACTTCTCACGTGAAGTCTATGTAAGTCTCATCTTTTTAGACTTCCGTAAAACTTTCTCCCTTAGCCATAATTCTTTGATGGACTTTCCAGTACACTGCCGAAACCCGCATTGATTTAAATTCACCGGAGAACAGGGGAAGGTGCTCGCGGGTGGATCTATTGTTTTCAAGGATAACCTATTCTTTGAATCGAAGTACAGTGTAGTAGATTTGAATCGCAATTCACTTTATTCAATTCTGTAATTTTCGTTGCCTCTCTGTATTCAAAATTGCCTTTCAGGAAGATTCAGTTTCTCCGAATTGAAAATTTGGATGTTGTGCACATCCAGGATATGCACACAAGCAGCACTGACGCCGTGTACCTGAACATTTTAAAATAATAAGTAAAAAGTAGTTTTAAAACAAGAACAGAAATATCGATGGGAAGTCTTCAAGGGTGTGTCTTTAGCTGTAAGGTATCTCGAAATATGTTGACTACATCTTGGCCTTTCCAAAATATGGAGAACTTCAATGCAAAGAATGTCATTTTGTTTTTCTGCATAAATTACTGTTCTTTTTCTTCAAGCAAGGTATTGTTTGATTCCAATTTCCTTGTATACCATGAACAGTTGTTAGGATACAAGCTATAAATAAATGGCCACTAATTCCAGAAGTATGTGTATAGTTTATTTCCGGAACATACAAGAACATTTCAACCCTATGTTTGGTAACTCATGTATACAACCAACTACTTATATCTCGTCATCAAATTCCATGAAAACTGCATCATATCATACTTCTTCATAATAGACTTGGAATGTTCATGCAGCCACTCCTTTTCTATTCTAGGATCCTGGAGTCAAAATGCTTTGAAGAATGAATGCTAAAGTGCATGGATTATGAGTCAGAAAAGTCGAAAGAACCAAAAGGATTTTGGAAACTAGATTCTGTTGCAACAATGAAAAGCAACATCTCCTGATACATAGTAGATTCTTTCTCATTTTTCATTGGAAATGAAAATTTCTGTTTATTATACTATTGTATATATTGATAACACCATGTTTTTCGTTGCATATAAGCCCTCATAATCTTTAACGGTACGGAGTATGTTTTTTCTCTCACATGTTTTCATAGACTTCACAACCGCTCAACGGTTGTTCCTTGGAGTCATAGGAGGGTTGGATAAAGGACTTTGTCATCTAGGTTGACCCCTAGCTATTTGTTCTATCACTTTCTAACCAATTGATATGTCATCTATGACAACAAATAAAACACCATGAAGAATCCATGTGAATGCTGGAACACACTTTCACAAAAAAACAAATTTGGCAGTCTAATCTAAAATTATATAATAGGTCATTCGTATCAAAAATATCATTTATAGTGAAATCGAATGTCACATATCCAATGAGGCTTCAATATAATATTGGTCCAAGTACAAGGGTCAAATTTAACCCTTCACTAGGCTTTTCACCCGCTACAACACGTTTGTCTTGCTAGCTGACCATGAATTGATTCGAACATAAGATCAACCTTATGATTTCCTTATGACTAGAAGATACAACAGTCTAACTGAGACAACTATCAAGATGAGATACATCACGAAGTTTTCTTCAAAAGTGAGACCATTATTTTCTTGGAAATTTAGTCTACACAACATTGAACGCACTTGAATTATAAACGATATCCAATACGAAGCATGTTTAATGATGAATATTGAAATTGGGCAGACACCGTCAAATTAGAGGTTGTGGATGAAGTAGTTATGCTCCTCTATATACTTTCACAATGCTTCTTGCTGGGAATGTAATGATAGTTAGTGAATTTAATAAATTGTTGTTGTTTTGATGTGTTGATATTTATATGCTCTCTTAGGGTCGCGATGGATATGGTTTCAGGGCGGAGTCGAGCCAAGTAAAATCATCCCTATTCAAGGGAACATTCTTATCTTACGAGACATGGAGGTATATGGTTCTCATGACATTTGGGGTTTTAAAATCTTGCATATGTGAGTTTAATAGCTTGTAGATGTTTTACTTTTAGTGTGTTTTTAATTGATCTGGATAGTATTATGTCTAACTATCGGGAGACCTTTGATGGAGTTAAGTGGTGGTAGCATAAAAGAAATTTCTGAAACATGTTCTTGGTTATTCCTCAATCATCAATATGTAAGAGATATTTTATGTTTTAACACTATATGTTTCCTCGTATTTTACAAACAAACCTTACTTTTTTAATGAATTTTTTTATATATTTTACACATATTTGAAAAATTATGAAAATGTGTATTAGATGGAAGATCAATCTACAAACATTTTATTTTCATTCAAAAAAAATACAGATAGATGCATCTCAAAACGTTTTAAACATACACTCGGCTTGAAAAAAAACGTCCTAGATCTTCAAATTCGTAAGATTCATATCACAAATTCCAATGTGGTTGTAAAGACATGAACAAGAAACTTTATATATATATCTTTTCATATGAAAAGACAAATGAAGAATATAACTTAACGTAAAGAAATGTGAGAAGAAAAAATGCTAGATTTTAATATATTTTTTTCAACTGTAAGTCTTTACCTAGCTCACCTCTCCACAAATATCTCCTTCAAGTTAAGGTTCTAGAAACCTGAAGGTGTAAGGCTTCAAGAGTCACAAGTAGACCCATCCCTATGGATGTGGCTAATCCTCCTCTAAGGGCAAAATAAACACAACAAACCTGATCCATGTTGACTCTACTAGACTATAAATTAAGTACACATTTGAATTAAGATGAAATGATTATGTATATTAATTGTTACAACATTACAGTCATAAGGACTTACCATAAGAATCATTTACAGTGAATTCATAACCTAATGTGTATTGAAAAATACACATTTTTTACAATCAAAGTTCTCTATTCAATCTTATGTTAATCACATACGGTTAGTTTTGCCTTTTGGGGTTTAAGCAGACAACAAAGCCGGTAAGAGTACGTTCAGAACATGAAGCAGTCGATCTCAAACGGTGTGGCCACACGAGCATCCGAGAAAAGTATCCCCCCCTCTCCCCAAGCAAGTGTTGTGGGCCGAACACAATGTCATGTGCGTCGCATCAACGAGCACACATGGACAAGATGCATGTACATCATCAACGATGCGGTCGTGCCAGGAGAGATGCAACATACCGAGGCAGGAAAGCTGCAGTAAGCTTTATGTCGATCACATACTGCCTGTTCACGCTGTGTGCATGCATGTACACTGTAACCATTGCATGCATGATGGATGACCTGATACGAGAAGTAAAAGTTGGACATTCATGCATGTGATGGGCCTTCGTCGTTGCGAGTCTTTTCCAAAGTACTGCACGGCGAGGCCCTGCTGCTCCCCTCCCTTTTACTTTCCCCTCTCAAACGTC